TTTGTAATTTTCAATATTGCAAACATGACCTCACATTTACGGTGTTATTGTGGTAGGGATGCATCAAATCTAAAATCAAACTACAGGGTCTTAAAGTAGAGATCTCAAGCTTTAATTTAAAAAAAAGAGCATAACTTTGCGATGATTTTTCACGGAGTTATCATCAGTCGAATTTGGCCAATTTTTGCCTAAAATTTTTCTATGCCATATTTCCTTTGAGCAGTGTATATACCAATGGATTTGTAATAAAATCCTCTACACTTTTTGTCATTATACAAATTTGAATAAATTGTAAAATAAGGTTATGAAAAATTTTTTTGTTATAAACAAATTGTATTTTGTAAAATTTGTTAACATCCTGTTATTATACGCAAGAAACCATACAACTTTTCTATTAGAAGTTTTAATGTATCTCGTATGGTTTTCGAGATAGCCAAAAGGGGTCGAAACTTTAAGAGTTCGTTTCACCCCTTAAACCCGCGTCTCAATCGATAAAAAAAAATACGTGTCCCTTATTTTTGCCTGCTTAACAAACCTACGAAGTTTCATCATCGGAGGGGGACACTTGCGTGTCTTTCCTTGTTAGTTTCTAAAATATGCAAAGACAATAATTAAAATATAAAATTAAAATGTATTAAAACAAAATATAATATATTAAAATATATTAAAACAATATAGTACAATCAAATATACTATGCTTCAACATATTTGTTCACGTTAATTAGCGTGTAGTGTGTACGAGGTGCGATCATTAAGTTCCGAAATTGTGTCTGCTGTGACCAAACGAATGACACGATTGACATACGCTCACAGAACATAAGAATAACAATCTTCGAGACATATGATACAAAGTTTGGAAGCGATATCTTCATTCAATCCTGTATTATACAAGTTTATGGTAGCATACGCACGCTCTCCTTTGCGAAATCATGATGGACTCCAAATTGGAACAGAGGGACATAAAAAAAAAAAGAAACTTCCTCACCCTCCGTATTCATCAGATTTGGAACCCTGTTATTTCTTTTTGTTTCCCAAGATGAAATTAAAACTCAAGGGTCGCCGATTTGATACGGTGGACGAGATTCAACGCGAATCGCGGCAGGTTCTTGACACGCTTTAACAAGAAGACTTCGAGGAAGCTTTCCAAAAATGGCAGAGGCTCTGGGATCGGTGCATAGCTGCACAAGGGGACTACTTTGAAGAGGATAGTAGCCAAATTTGAAACATGTGACTTTATCTGCATATGTGGAACCAGTCCCGAAACTTAATGATCGCACCTCGTATACGATAGTAGAATACCTCTGAAACTAAAATTGAGCTGTGATTACATGTATAAATGAAAGTAACTCAACGATATTCTGTCTATGACAGAATATTGTTCAAGGTCATTGAAATCGTAATTTTTACTATATAATTGTAATTAATTTTGTTACAATTTTTTTGCAGGACCTGTACGGAGAAGTTTAAGAAATAAAATTAAAAAATAATATTTCATGTTCAGTAATTTATTTACACATGAACATACGAAATATTTCTTTAAAAATCATTTATTTTGATATATTTATGTTTAAAGTGATTTGTATAAAAAGCCCATTGATATAGATACAAGGAGTCGCCAGATAAACAGAAGATTTAACTTCAAATTTTGAACTAACAGTCTAGTTGAATTCAACTGACTATGATGCACTTAAATAAAGTTATTAGTTGAGGAGGGACAAAATTTGCCTTAATAAATTTAATCATATTACATTGAACAAATTGTAAATTTATTCGTACATACAAAATAGTTACATTACCAATCATTGTAATTTACTCAGAAGGGAAAAAGTGAAATATTTTTCCCCCGAGGTAGAAACAAAAGCCACTTTTGTTTCTTGAGTAAGGTTTAAGGCCATTCTTGCTACGTTCATGCTAATTACAGTAATGGCTATGTATAACAAGTACAAAGTATATAAAACATTAATAATTTTTAATATGAAATGTAATAGTAAACAACGTTTGTAGTATACTTATTATTTGTATAGATTTCACAACAATTTATATAAATATAAGATTTTTTTTTTTTAAATCAATCTTTTTTTAATAAAAAATAGTATATAATATTGCAAATTAGCAAAACATTTTATCAAAAATAAATTATAGTTAATCATAAAAAGCAGATCATATTAAACTTTTAACATTATAAATATTCGAGAATGGTACAAAAGCATGCTAAAGTGCACAATCCTTTATACCCAGATATTCAATTTATGAAATGGATATAAGCGTTTGAAGCAAATGTAAAATATCTTTAAAATATCAAAGAAACACTTGTCATGTATTTCTGTAATAAAAATTGTTATGTTTTTGCAACGTGCAGTGAAATATGGTTCAGTTAAGTAGAAACCAAAGACAACAAAGCTTTTTTATAATCTCCAGATGTATCTCCCTAAAACATTAATAACCGTAATATTAAATATTATTATTAGTTCTTAACATATTTATATTTATATATAATATAGATACATACAGCGACCCAACTTTCTAGTGATTTTCCATATCGTTCTTCAAATGCCTTTTTGATGTCACCTAAATCGATTTCACTTCGGGAAACAATAATGCGAATTAGCGTTCGATCCTTTGTACCAATTCCATGCATACTAGCATATAATCGTTCAGCAAAGAAACCAACTTTTGATTTTACACATTTTACTGTTGTATAAAAACATAAAATTAAAAATATTGTGTTATAATACTTAATAATAAATAATATTTTATTATATTCTGTTATTTCAATAGAAAGAACTGTACTGACCTATTCCAAGAAGACCTTTTTCGAGGCTTCCTGAAAATTCTTTTTTAATAGCAACTTCAATGTCATGTCCAGATATTTTTTCATATTCAATAAAAGTTTGTCTTAATTGTTGATAACTGCGTGTTACTAAAATGGCGTTAAATTGAGATTCATCTGTACCCCATTGCTTTTCACCTATGGTTAAAATTATGGTTATTAATTTTTACATTTTTTATGGATTCTATTTATTTATGTTATGACATTAAATATTTGCTGAAAATATTACAATAGAGAACTCCAGTATTCCAATACATACCAGCCTCATAAAGTGCCTGGGCATCTGCTACAGCTTGAGCTTGGTCTACTCCTTGATTTTCATCCCTATTTGCTTGGACAAGAGAAACTAACAATCTTTTAAAGTGTCCTGATGTGTCTCCTTTTAAGTCACTTTCAAGAGTTTTTCCATACACTATCAAACGCAAAATATTTTAAGTTATATTTAATATATAAAACAAAATAATGTTAAATCTAATCTTTTTAATACTATGCTTTAGATGGTTCTTTTAAATTAATACTTATTACAAATTTTTCTAAATTAATAAACAACTCACAGTTTTCATAAAATGCTGCAATTGTACGTATACCATAATTGCTTAAGGTGCACAAAATTTCTACAATTGCTTCCTCGTCAGTTCCTAATCCACTTATTGCATCATGTAATTCTTTGGCATAATAATGAGGCAGTGGTGTCATAAGAGCAATTATAACATCTTCTAGTTTTCCTGTAAGTTCACTTTTTAGGTCACTAACCAAATCTTTTCCATATAATGTTTTGTATGCTTCAGCAATTTCCAATCGTTGCACAATTCCTCTTTTTGTAAGTACATCAATAAGTGTTTTCTCATCTGTACCAAAACCTTTCATTGCTTTACGTAACAATGCAGCATCTGCATTAGCATCGAAAGGCTCTGCAGGATACACTGTAGGAGTACACTATAATATACAAATATATAAAATATATTTTTGATAAAGTTTTATATGCTTATATATTTATGTGCACTTATGTAGTTATATTGCAGGTAATGCTAAGAATTATAACTATAAAAAATAAAATTTTGTATTTGTATTACTATTGGTTATAATTTATGTATATATATTTAACTTATTTTATGAAAAAAAAAAAATAGTTATCTATCAAAATTACATTCAACAAAACTTCATATTTATTTATGTCTGTGACATTACTAGAAAATATTACATATGAATTCTGAGTGTTAATAATATTTAAAAATAATATTTACAAGATCTTGCACCTTTTAATGTTAACTAAATTTCTAACACTTATTGATTAATTGTGTTCATAATATTATTTCTAATAAATATATTGAAGTAATTTTTCAAACAATGCTTATTATAAAGCTATATTATTAAAGCAAATAAATATATTACTCTACATAAAATATATTTAGTACTTAAATATATTTAGTCTTAATATATTTAGTCTTATTTAAAAACTATTTATTAACAATAAAAATTGGAAATAATGCAGATGAAACAACGCGATTTGATTGATTCGAAGAAATCAACATTAAAAATGCAAGTGATCGATATAAGCTAAAAATAGACCAATTTAATTAGTAATCGTAAAAATAAAATATCATTAAATATTCTAGAATAATTTAAAGATACGTACTTTGTAAGGATAGTACTGTTGCTGTGACATTTTTTCCTATTTAAAGAATGACCTAAAATTGATCGATTACAATAATTAATCGATTAATCAACAACAAACAGAATTTATTACATATTATTGCATTTCTTTTATAATAATTAATCTTTAATCGTAAAAAATAAAACGTGCAATAAATATATTTTCAAAAATTAACAATACATGATGTTTTCGTAAAGTAGATCCAAAAACAACTTACTCGTTTGATCGCCGGCTAGACAATAATGGGCACACCCACTTTCGCATCACGTCATCTGTAGTTTGTCAAGGTGCTTATATACGTATGAGAGAATGAGTAATGAGTACAAGGAAACTAACACAACATTCTTGATACAACTCTGTATATGTGTTAAATATACTTTGTGCACAGTTACTCATTTCTGCAGATTAAAAATTTCGAGAATATTATATATACATAGTATGCAATTCCCTATATGATGAAACTAAAACGATATAAATATATCGTAAACGATACATAATAATATATAACTACATATACTCTTTATACATATATTTTTAAGTGAAAATTACTATATGCATTATAATGCGGTGTAGATTATAATAATTAAAAATATGTATATATAATTATACATTTGTGTAATATTTCTGTGTCCTACTTTTGGAAGGTTATCTTTCTTTTTCACTTTCTTATTTAATAAGGAAGATGAAGAAAAGAATAATTTTACTTTTCTTTCATGAAATACAAATTTGTTGTATGTACTGTACATGTATAGTTTATAAAAATAAATCTCATGAAACGTAAGTAAGATGATATCTATTTATAACTATTATTGTAAGAAAGATAAACTTTAATTATACAAACTATTTTGTGTATCACGTTCGTATTTAAGTATATTTAAAAAAATAATTTATTATTTACTGTACCTTTTATAAACTTGCATTCTATCACCGTTAATATGGCTTTTATTTATTTAGTTTCTGTAAATATTGTGAATTAAATATATATATTTACACATATTAAACATAAAAAACAAAATAAATATTAAAGTATTATAAGTTTATTCATACTAATGCATTTTTTGGTATATTATAGAATTATGTTATTAAAATCATTGATGTGTATATACATATATATATATATATATATATATATATATATATGTGTGTATAAAATAATTGTTAAGTCATATGAAGTGAATATACGTTTACATATTTCATGCTTTTACAAAAAGTTTGAATTGTATGAGGAAGATACGTGCATGTAGTTTAAATGTTTTACACTAGAGTATATAAGTTTGAAACTCCTTTCTTTTTCAAAAGATGGTTTATTAGCGCGGTAATGTCTTGCCTCTGTTAATTCTCCGATCATCGACCATTCACTGATGTTCGACTATACATCGAGATTTCAAATATTGTTTTCCGCAACATTGGCGGCATGTCGCATTTAACGTGCTTATTTAATGAGAAATATACACAGTGTAATACATTACGACCAACAAACAACAAGAGATTAAGATTTGGTCCTTTTACCAAAAATGGCTGATCGCTAAATTTGATATACATATCTATATTAATATACGGTGAAAATTGAACGAAAAGTATAAATAACCTAACATAATATCAACTTGTATAAAACGCGGGTAAATATGCCACGCACCAAAGCATCACCCAAGAAATGTGTTAAAACAACTAATTCACATCCAGGGACAAATACATGGGTTTTCTTAATGAAAGGTGAATAAACGAAGATTATTTTTATTCCAAATTTTGTGTAAATTTATGTAACAGCTAAATAATATTAATATATTCTATAAATTATTTAAAAAGTTATTAATATTTTACTATTGTTATTAATGTTTAAATTCGGTTGATTGTACCATTTTCTATTAAGTATATTTTAAATGTAAAATTAATTTATATTTCAGGTGATAGTTTAGATAATGCAGATAATGGAACACCTGATGTAGTTAAGTTAAGACATCCAGCTTTAAATCAACCTACAATGTTTGTCTTTAGTCCAGGTAATTTAACGGTACAAGAAGTTTTAACGTTCGATGAAAACAAAAGATCATGGTTTATAGACGACAATGTAAAATCTGATGGAAAACTGCATTTATCTACTCCTATTGATCCAATGTTTTTAATATTACCTTATTTAAGACAGGTAAATTTGTATCACATGCTTTTTTTGCGATTATTACACATTTTAATTGATTCTAATGTAATATAGGGGTTTAGTTGACTCCATCATAAGGGTTTCATAGTTTGAAATATTAGTAAAGTTAAATATTACACTCGTAGTCACAACAAGCACAGCCGTTAGAACAATGTCTTTGGGATGAAGATTTTCCAGAGACGTCCCGTCTTATTCAATGTCAGAATTTAAATCTGACATTAATTGCTGACCATAAAGGAGATGAATCAATACAAGCCTACAAATTTAATGAAGAAAAAACATTAATTTGGTTGCAAAAAAAAGTTGAAAGAGTAGCAGAAGTTTTAAAGCAGAAGGGTATTCATGTATCACAGGGTGCTACTAGTGCTACTTATATTAAAAGTACTAAATTTGAAAATATTTCAGAAGTTGGTGAGAACTAAAATTAATTTCATATTTCATAAACTTAAAATTTAATCATTTTTCTAATGATCTATCTAGTTATACACAGAAAAAAATATTTTAATGCATCAGAACTGTAAAAAATGATACATGTAACATATTCATTTTCTTCTATAGATTATTTAAAATATGCACATGGTATTGTATCAGAATATCTTGCAGAAGATTTATCAAATAAACTGGCGCATCATTTAAATCTATCACATGAAATAGAAAATAAAAAAAGAAAGTTAAGTAGTCCTAAAGAAACTGTTGACGAAAAAAAATCTAAGAAAGATACAACCGAAAACGAGTCAATATTGAAACCAAAAGTATCTGATTCTACTAAATTAGAAAAGGTAATATTTTTTGTATATATATATATATATATATACACACAGTCTACATTTAAGAAGATAAAATGCACGTATCTTTTGTCATTTTATGTTTCCCACAGCCACAGAAAACCATTGTCAGTAAAAAGGAATTGTCTCGACAGAAAGCTGCAGCTGGATCCAAAAGTATTACTAATTTTTTTAAAAAAAAGTGAATCTTAAAAAGTACCTTTAGATTTAAAATAAATTTAAAAGAACTTAAGTACTGTAATGTATATGCATATTATTCAAGCAATATGATTAAGTTTAGCTATCTTTATTCTGGAATTGATTAATTGCTTTACATGAGCAAAAATTAAACAATTATTTAAATGCACAGAAGAATTTTTTACCTTTATTTAATAAATGTTTTATTATTGCAGTTTCCCTACGTTCGAATGCTAAAAGCATTTTGTAATTAATTATGATTCTGAGTATAGTAAACATGTATTACAAAGGAATATATTGTAGAAACATTTTAAGTATATATATGTGTAAATTTCAGAATAATAAAAAAAAATTGTAGTTTAATTATGTTTGAGAAAGATTGTTCCAGTTAAAGCGTATTACTTCTAAACTCTATATCATGTGAAGTTGTGTTTTCAAGCTATAGGCAATTGAAAATTGGGTATTTACTGTATATGCATGCATGTTTATACACTCGTTCTCCTGATTGTACAAATTGTATTTTGACATACTTAATACTTTGCATGCGTAAACTGGGACATTCTGCGTATTCATAAATGCATCATTTTTATTTGCTTAATAATAAATTTGTTTATTATTTGGCTTCAAAAAATAAGAAGTAACGACAAAACAGTAATAACAATTATTGTATATTATATTGCGTTTATCAAGAAAAGGAACTATGGTCGACAAGTTGTTTTATTTTTTCTCAGGTCTTCATCTAGAGATTGTGATACAAGTTGTTTACACTGTTTTGTTGAGTATAACAGTTTATCTGCGAGACATTCGGTCCATAGCTTCAACGTGTCCCTCATCACTGATACAATTCAAACACCAATACAGGGTGTCTCGTCACTAGTATTACTTCCTGAAAGGGGTAGTAGAGGACGGTATTCTGAACAAGATTTTCTTTTGCAATAGTGGGGTTTAAAGCTTCGTTTTTGAGTTACTAAGGAAAAACAATGACCAATCAGAGCGCGAGAATAACTCGCGCCCAGACGCGAGAACGATAGCTTCGAGTGTGATGACCGATCGTCGTCGTGAACAAGCGTATCGTTACTTTAACCTTCTCCGGGAAAAGCTCAAAACAGCATTAGCGCGGGGCCTCAGTTGTGTTCTTCAAGAATTTCTGGGGCCCTCAATGCGTCTTGGAAGGATTACTGTGGAAGTTTTAGCCGATAAAAATTCGGTATAATCCCGCGCTCTCTTTCTCAGTGGCGCGGGGTACCTTTGGAAGATTTTCCCTACATAAAAAAAAGAAAAAAAGGCCTCACAAGTGTGGCGACACCTACTTCCACTCAACCATGCCGCCGAAAGATATACTTTTCCCGCATTGAACTTTAACGTTTTTTTTTGGTAGATGAATTTTCCTTGAGAGTACAACAGCACTTTTCCGGAAAACGCGTTGAAGGACGGACGTGCCATAGCATAGTTAAAACTTTGTATTAGTCAGTGTGTTTGTTATGGATAGATCTGACCTTACGAGAAAAACTCAGAGCATGAAATATTAACTAGGAAGCACAGTTAATCAGGGAGGTTTTCGGAGACAGCAGATCCAAAGCAGTAGTGCATGGGTTCGCCCGTGCCTAGAAGCCTTTACGTGCACGAGAAAACCTGTGGCTGTATTCGTTGTACACCAGAAGTGTTCAGCATGAAAAAACGTCTTCGAAACGCAGGATGTATAGAATTCGCCCAAGAGTGGTGATGCTTACCATAGCACTGAGAACCAAAGTTGCTCGGGAGAGGTAAGAACTGGGCGGCAGCGAACTAGCTCGTCTCACGTCTGGAAGGTTGTCTGCGGGATCGCTAGCACTCGAAAGCGGTAAATAATTAATTTTCAAAGAACTATTGTATGTGGTACATGTGCTCTGAGATTCCAAGTAAAATGCTAATTAATAAGTATTGATGCGGCCGCCGTAAGTCGGCGAATCTTGATGTGTACTTCGACAAATAAGAAAGTGCAACATTCTTCTGCGACGTCTTCTGACAGTTATTTTTCCACAAACAAATGTAAAAGTGCGGATCGCTCTGTTTGATGGCGAATATCGACATGTTACCGGTGCGCTGTCGAAGTCTGCACACGGTATGGCAGTACAGTGTGCTACAGAAAGATGGCGGCTTAGTAATGTTCGACAGTTTAGACGTAGACCCTCGGCTATCAGTTTTGGCAGGCAGAGTCAAACCCGTGGCACTTACCACAACAATATGACGTTTTTGCTGAAAATCAGTAAATTTCTAAGCGTTATATCTCGAAAACTAATAAAAATCGGGTAAATACATTAAACCTTAATGAATTCGTGTTGAAAAACACTATCGTATGATGGAAAAAAATATAGCTTCATTTAAAAAGTGAAACTTCATCATCATATCTTTTACATTAATAACAATAAAAAAATGTTGCTTCTGTCAAAACATAGGGCCCCTTTTACCCTGCAATTTCCATATAAGCACTTTTTCGTGACATCAATAGTTCATGAAATATCGCGCTGTCACACTTTGGCACTCTGTATATATTGACAAAAGAAGGCACGCAAATTCAAAATGGAAAGTACTGTTTTAAAGGAAATATTAATTTATTAAAATATTAATTTTAAAGGAAATATTTAAATATTCGATATCTGCACATTTTCGGTTCTGAACTGATGCAGATATCGTGCAGGTCCTACATTTCGAGCGAAGATAACTGAATGTAAACAAACAGTGACCAATCCATAAGACGCTCCTAATGCAAGAATAAAACTTTTTTATTTTTGATTTTTTTTTTGAAATTTTTTCCATCATATTTGTAACATTTTCTCATTAAAATGAGACCAAACATAATGTACTTCGGGACATATTTACTTGTAAGTTCAAATGTTACGCGTGCATCGATCACTTTACTCCAATAAGATATTGCAAGTAAATATAACTCAAATTACGTCATGTTTGGTCTCATTTTAATTAGGAAAATGTCACGAATATGATGGAGAAAGTTGTATAAAAAAATGGATGAAATATAAAACAGTTAGCAATGCTTAACATTGCAAACAATTGAACAGACTTTTGATCTTTGCCGACTACCATGACCGCAGTATTTCTTTCTTCTTCACTCGCTTCCCTCCTCTGCGTCAGAAACTTTTATCGTCAATTAAACCAGTAAATATGCTTCAAATTATATCGTGTTTGATCTCAACTCATTTTAATTAGAACAACAAGACGAATACGATGATCAAAGTTTCATTCACGAAAAACCAAAAATAAAGAATTTTGATTTTTGAATGCAAAAGACAAAACACGCACGAGTCTTTCTTGTTTGCCGACCAATTCAACATTCTATCTGTCTTTCTTTTCCATTTGCCGATCTCTTTCATATTAAAAATTTTAATCACCCGAAGCCCGAAACACATTATTTCTTATACCTGATCTTTGAATATTTTTCTCTTGCACGAATAGCATTAAAGTAATCACATAAATTATTTTCGTAAGTATGTAACATTTTTTTATCATTAAATCTATATCTACGTTAAAAAATATTTAGAGTTATTGCAATTATTACAAACAGTACATTTTATTAAAAAAGTTTTTTATTATGCATATGATTTATTTATAAATTTTTTTCTCTTCTATCTACTTTCCATATAACTAACTATGACTACGTTTCCATCGAAGGTTCAAATCGGGTCAGAGTCGGGTTAGAGTCGGGTTAGAGTCGGGTTTGAGTCGCGGGTTGGAGTTGCGGCAGGGTTGAACATTACCAACTGCACAAAGTCAACTACCATATTCTGACATGTAAAGCTGAGCAATATTAATTTTACAATAT